GGGTCGCGGGAGGGGGTGTCGCAGAGACCCCTGGAAGGGCCGAGGTGCGGGGGTAAAGCCCGCCCCACACCGCTGCGACCCCCAGAGAGGCGAGCCTGCACAATGGGCAGAGGACCCCAACATCAGAGGGCGTCCCCCCCAGGGGCCCTTTCAGGTGCTGAGGAGAGAAGCCGCGAAGCTGTCTCTGGAGCGCGTTGCCCAGGCAGTTGCCCACGTATGGGAAGTGTGACCGGTTCCCCGCTTATCCCCACACCTCTGCATTCTGCATTCAGTTTTAATTTGTCCACATCTAAGCAACTCGTAAGTCTTCTGACTCGTTCAAATACATCTCCCCTTTCTTTTCCCTCTGCCGTTGGTTTCTGCTCAAGCAATTCCAAGTGACCAGAGCCAAGCATATTTCTCCTTGTCGGGCTCCGTGGCGAGGCTCTCAAGCAGTTCACCTTCATCTCTTTCCCCAGCCCCGTATGGCTGAGTGCTCTCCAGGCCTAGTTTCACTCCAGAGGCAGGAAAAAGGGAGAAATGAGGATCAGTAAAGGTTAAATAAATTAGACTAAAGAATAAAAGTGTGGTGGAAGTGAAGAGAGATGGAATTGAAGGAAATCTGAACAATTTGGAATAACGTCATAAATTCAGTCTGGTACTGTTCTTCCAATAACACCTGAATGCCACCAAGAACATGGAAACATCATCATAAGTTGTTAGAAAAGTCCCAGTTTTGGTTTTGCTCCTAGCGATTCTCTACCTGTTGATAAGTTAACTAGCATGTTGGGCCCTTCTGGGCCTAAAGTTGCCTTTCCTGTTTAAAAAGAAAGGATAATATTTTAGCGCTGTAGGAAGGACTACCAATGTCTGCAGTTACATGACAAGGTCTGTGAGTGTTGGAACTATCTGTCCTTTGTTTTTTTAAAGTATGTTTTTATTTCAGAGAGAAAGGGAGAGGGCTAGAGAGATAGAAACATCAATGATGAGTCATTGATCAGCTGCCTCTTGCACGAGTCCCCTACTTGGGATGGAGCTGGAAACCTGGGCATGTGCCCTGTCTGGGAATAGAACTGTGACCTAGTTCATAGGTCGACCAACCTCTGAGCAACCCCAGCTGGGTGGAACTATCTATCCTTTGTATCTTCCACACAGTACCTAGAACAATGTCATATGCAAGTGTCAGATGTTTGGTTGAACAGTGTTTTTAAAATATTGGGATTTAGCTAAGTGATATCAATTGTAGTCAGGTCCTAGTATCTTCATCTACTAGCTGTGTGACTTTGGTTAAGTAACCTGACCTCTCTGTGTCAGCTTCTCATCTGGATGAATGTAATACCTATAGTATCTACTCATGTGGTTGTATGAAATGTGTTAACGCATGTAGAGGGGTTAGAACAGAAAATGGTGCGTTGTAAATATGGCAGATGAACAAATGTTGGCAAAAATAATAATCATAAAAATCCTCAGTTTTTCATACCACCCAAGCAAATCTCAGTAATCGTGTCAACTTCGATCAGGACGAGCAGCTTCTTCTGAAAGTCTGAAATTACTGGCCTTTGGCTCATGGCTCAAATTGTCATGGTTAGAGCCAGCACTTAACCTCTAAGGACCCTGTGTTTTACAAAGGGCCGGAAAGCAGCATATAGGGACTCCTTATGCATATACTTGTTCACCCCAGTCTCCTAGTGGCTCTCTGCTGCAGCTTCTCTGACTAATTAGTCATAAAGGATGACTTAACACAATTAACAGAGATAAATGGGTCTCTATACCTGGCTGGAGTCTGAATTGATCTACTGAGAAATGTTTATATGCCAGAAGAACTCGACATCGTTTTTTACATGAAGAATCAAATCACTGACCTGAAACTCAACAGGTGACTTTGGGTTTGATAAAGCAAACTGGAAATTCCCTCACAATTAGTGAGACCAGATAAATGAGTTTTGCACTGGGAACTTCTGTGATGGTAGTATCGGGAGATTTGGATGGCTAGGGATTTCTTGTCCAGTGTACCCAAGATCCCTATCCACTATCTCCTTTACCATAGCACTGCTTGCCTTTGTCTGCTGCAGACAGGCTTTCACAATGTGGAGATTCTTCTTGTTCCTGAAATATGGAGAGCATGAGCTTTCTGAAAGTGTGGGGGTGGAAACACTTAGGCATAGTCTAGGAGACAAGACAGGTTGTAATCTCTCTTGAATTTCCACTTGCTCAAAGCCTTCTTTGTCCACTGAGACTGCCCTCTGCCTCACTTCCCACCCATCTTTATAATTGTTCCATATGCCTAGGATAAGTTTCTGTTCTAAATCTCCCATTCTCAGCGTGGCTTTTGATGCAACAAAGCTACTCCATTGCTTCTGAAAGTTAAAAAAAAGAGGGGATAAAAAAACATCTAAAATTAATTTTTCTTAAAAAACTCTTCTTGGATTGGGGTGTGTGTGTGTGTGTGTGTGTGTGTGTGTGTGTGTGTTTTCCCTGGCTCGCTCTTCATTATTGCTCCTCTTTTCATGTATACACTTGTTTTCCACATTCCAAACCTACCTGGCCATATACAAGGGTCGTCAAAAGCAAGTTTACAGTTGTTCATATAAAAAATTATAAATTAATAAACAATAAACTCTCTTTCATGTACTCACAACTGTAAACCTACTTTTGCCTACCCCTGTATATGACGTAAACGTCTTCCTCTCTACTCTCGTGGTAGATTTACAGTGTCAGATACTATTTGTGTGTCATGCATATAATTTGTTCTTCTTAGTGTGTTTGCCTTAGATTGCAGGTCCTCAGAGCTTAGAGCTGCAGTCAGGTCCCTGCAGTGCCCAGAGCAGTTCTGTGTCATCATTTGAAATGCCTAATGATGATAATATCCTTTTCTGTATCATAAGGGCTTATGTGCTACCAGCACTGACATCTTCGCACTTCCCTCAGTTTCCTCTAAATCTCTCAGTAAAAAACAGGTAGACTCTTTTCTCTAAACAATGTTCTCATTGAACTTGGATTCAGAAGACCTGAGTTTCGGTCCTGCTTCTGCCCTTTGCTGACTGTGTTCTCTCACAAGTTGCTAAATGTCTCTAAGTTCTGGCCTCATCTTCATCTGTTAAAGGGAGACACTATCGATGTCCTTGATGAGGACACAGTGTCCCATAGAGGTTATGAAGTGTTTGTAAAGTACGAAACCCTTTATAAAGGTCAAGGATCATGATTACTCTGGTGATTATCCCAGACCCTACACTATGGTATTAAGAACTCAAACTTTACAGCAGTTATCACCTAATTTCACAAACTTTGAGTGGATCTAATGTTTCAAACAGGTAGGAATCTAATTGAAAAAGAATTTTGCCTTGAAAATTAGGGTTCTTGAGTCGCCGGTTCGATTCCAAGTCAAAGACACGTACCAGGTTGCAGGTTTGATCCCGGGCCCTGGTCAGGGCACATGTGGGAGGGAACCAGTCAACCAATTGGTGTGACTCTCTCATTGATGTTTCTCTCTGTCTCTCTCTCTCCCCCTCCCTCCTACTCTCTCTAAAAATTGATGGAAAAAATATCCTTGGGTTAGGATTAACAACAACAACAACAAAATTGACTTATTTCTATGCTTTGTGACTCAGTTTTCCTTAAAGTGAAGGCAAATTATAAGAAAATAAACTTCACTAAATATTAATTGCATTTTACCACATTGGACTCGAGTGGCTCATAAGATTTTGTGTTTTGGTTTATTTTTCCCATCAACTCAAGGTTGTTGCGAGGGTAAAGGAGTTAATGTCAGTAACGTGTGGGGATCCCCAGATTAAAGGTTAAGTGAGTCCAAAGCAGAAGTAACTTTGTCCAAAGTTACAGCCCAACGAGAAGGAGCAGGGAACCTGGCTGTTTATTCAGCAGTGACTCGGGGATTCAAGGACTCTCCCGGATTCCACGTCCATCACAGTCCACAAATACCCCTTCCTCTCATTTCCCTTTTTTAGGTCTTGGTTCCCCCATCTCAAATTGGCACAGTGGAGAGGGTTGTGAGAGCATGGGACAGTATTTACTTGAGGAAATGGCCACGTAAGCGATTTGGCCTTTTTTTCTTCTTTTTTTTCCTCCTTCCTGGCAGCCTAGGAGCAAGCTTCCCCTAACCAAATGTTTGATTGCCAGAATCTATATATGTCTGAAGGCTCACTTCTTCCAAGAAGCCTGCTAAAGTTAATTGGAACAGAGGACTAGCTTCTCTTAACCTATCTAGGATGTGTTTTTCAAGGCCCTGCATGTGTTCCCTACTCTTATAAGACCTGAAACCTTGACCTGTTTGCCACGTAAACTTTTTGCTGTCTTTTGTATTTATTTAGTGTTCATATCTGACTCTCACTGTATTCTCTTTATGACTGTCTACATCATTTATAATCCTAAGAGGTCAGAGACTGTATCTGTGTAATTTTCATTACATAATAGCCAATAAAAATGATAATCACTATAATAGAGACTTGATGATCATAGTTTAACAGACGCCAACAACGGTTGTAGTGGCCAATGGAGTGAGATCTTGAATCAAATTAATTAACAGTCAATCACCTTAAAATAGTTTAGAAAAATTTTCCTTTAATAATTGCTCACATATTTTTGGACTTGTAGAATCTTAGACATGGAATGAATGTCAGAGGTCATCTATTCTATCCTCTCACTAAGTGCCACCAGCCTCTTGAACCCTCACCATGACAAGGAGTTCACTACTTTGCCTAACACCTAATCAACCTAGCTTTTCATTGTAAAATATATCATGCCTACAAAAAAACATATGAAAATATATGTGTTGAAGAACAATAGTAAAA